GGGGGGGGGTCCTGCATTTCCGGCCAGAAGATATAGTTGCATCAACTCCGACGACCGTGGGGATTATGGCTCCAGCCGGTCAATGCGGTGGTCGGCTGGTCAACACCGGTCAACACCATTAAATAAATTTATTTATTATATATGTAATTTAAATATAATAATCATTATTTTTTATTATATAATTAATGTGTATTCAAAGTGATTAATACAAGTCATTGATCAAAACAAAAATTGTGGCTAAAATTGAGTCGCATGTCCTCATTGGGTCCACACACACACACACACACACACACACACACACACACAAATTGTGGCTAAAATTGAGTCGCAAGTTATTGTTTTTTTTAGGTTGCCAAGCACGAGCACTATTAAATGGGCAACTGTTATCGTATATTATAAATTGAGTCTTTTTAAATCCATTAATTTACTCATTTTCATAAATGGCTCATTCTTTTTCCAATGAAAACAAACAAATTTATAACTCAAATACAAAGTACTAGTACAACGGATAATCAAATGATTGTAGATCCTGGATAATCAAACAAAGACAACCCAAGAGCCACGAGAAAGAGTATACTCTTCCCCTCAAAGACCAACATAGTAACAAAAAATAAAAAAATAAAAAAGACAAACCAAACTAAAAAACTAAACCAGAAACAATATTACAAACCAAAAAAAGTGCCAAAATATCCTCCACGAGAGACACAAAAGATTCACTAGAAGATGCAGCATTGTTCAAAGCTTTCATAGCCTCTACATTGTTCAGGTAGCATATCTAGGGTTTCCAGTTGAGATCTTTGAACTTCATCAGACTCCATTTGGCAGCTAGCAAAGTTGCCTCGATTGCACCTCTTGGTCCTGCTATAAGTCCTTCCCAATGGATTTTGTTGTCTGTAGTACTTGTAGCAACACACTCTACTGCAATGTCTCCTTCTTCAGATGTGTGAGCACTGATGGCCAACAAAGACCTACCTACTCTCTCTAGGACTTCATCTGAACTAGACTTTCTTCTATTTAGCAGCTTCTGTGTTTCCTTCTCTAACCAGTATGATTGTGCACCCTCCACTAATTCCTTCTCATTTATCCAATCTCCTTTGAAGGCCCACTTATTTCTGGTCTTCCATAAATTCCACATCAAATAAGCAGATATAGTGAGCCTCTCCTTCAAGTTATCAGACATTCCATTTGAACAAATTTCCATCCACCAACTCTGAAAATCCATCTGATTATGTTGCATTAAGTCCCAATCTACCCCACTCGGCTTCCAACATATTTTGGCTTTTAAACATGAGAACAAGAAATGATTTAAATCCTCAGCTCCCTCACCACAGACCTTGGAGGCTGTATCTACTTTTAAACCTTTTTTTTACCAAATTCTCATTAACTCTAATGAACACATACCAGCATCTGCAGATGAAGTACCTGATCACAGGTTTAATGTGCAGCTATCAGGTCGACTTCCACGTCTTCTTCCACCAACCTCTAATCTCATAGGTTTAATGTGCAGCTGTTAGGTTGACTTCCACATCTTCTTCCACCAACCACTAATCTCACTGGTAGAAGCTTCTACAATTGGTTTGCCTTTAGCTTCTAAAATGGTTTGGTATACAACCTTTGTTGTAAACATTCCCTTCTTACCACAGTGTCAAATTAACCTGTCATTCTTTGATTATATTGATTTTGGGAGTTGGATTAACTAAACTACATCGCTCAAACATGATATATTTTAATCCTATCGTATTGGTATTGCCTCCACGAGAATTTTAACCGTCAAATGCACACACATGTGCAGATATGTTTGACTCAAACAAAATACTGAAGGTAGAATGAATTAATCCCTCAAACACATAGTAATTGATGTTAGAAACAATGTTTTAAAAGTCATTTGACGCTCGTTAGGTGGTGGATAGGGACCTAACGCCTTGGACGTCTAGGCAAGGACTAGGTAGCGCCTAAGCATGGCCGAGAAAATATTAATTAATTTATTTATATTTATCATCATACATAATTTACAAAATACAATTATTCCAGAAACATTAATTAATATGGTATACTACAAAAAGTATACAGAATCTTGTGCATTCATAATTATTGTATCAATTGTGATATAATTATTAATATTTTTATTATATATTAATATAAATTTCAAGAGTAGAAATATTTTATATCATTTTTTAAAAGTAATTAAAAAATATATATACGGACACCTAGACGCCGCATAGACCACCTAGGTGTCCGTCTACACTTGAGTAGATTCACAATCATTTGAGCACTGTCTAGACCATCTAGATATTTTGTAGGCGTCCGTACGTCTACACTTGAGCGGCTTCACAATCGTTTGAGCAATGTCTAGCACCCATCTAGATATTTTCTCATATTTCGAGCGTCTAGAACAATCGTCCATTCAAAAATCGTAGCACCTAAATGCCGTCAAGCACCTAGGCTGACTTTTATTCAAAAGTTAGAAAGTTGTTGCATCAACAAAATATCGCAATAATTCCACTCAAATGGACGGCCGATGAAAACAACAACAAAAATGATTTTTCAAGTAAAAATTGAGCAATGATAACATGAAATATTCGAACTCCAAACAATTCACAAATCACAACCAACGACATTACCCTACACCTAAACCACTTCCATTCACAACACCACTTTTAAATTTTACAGTACGGATTATTTAATTCATATATATATATAAAAAAAAAAAAAACAATTAAAATGAAGAACAAGAACAAAAAGAAATGCTCAACCTTCCCTGTAAATCTGAATCCCCAATTCTTGGGAGAGGTCACGAGCTCAAGGCGGCAAACCCCCCGCCCTTCATCATCTGCCGAAACTCGTCGAAGTTGACCCTCCCATCACCGTCAACGTCGACCTTCTTGATCATCCGCTTGCAGTCCTCGATTGTGCGGCCCTGTTTCAGCCCTAGCGAAGATAGCACCGCCCGGAGCTCCTCCACGGTGATGAAGCCGTCGCCGTTTTGGTCGAAGACGTTGAAGGCCTCGCGCATATCCTCCTCCTCGTCCCCCCTCCCCTCGTCCGCCATTATCGCCGAGTAAAGCTCCCCGAACTCATCCACGTCCACGTAGCCGTCGCCGTTCGCGTCGATCTTCTCGATCATCTGTCTCAGCTCCTTCTCCGGAATGTGGATCCCCAGCTTCTCCAGCGACTCGCTCAGCTCCGTCCGGCTGATCTTCCCGTCCCCGTTACGATCGAACATGCTGAAAACCCGACGGAGCTCGGCCGGATCCATGTTTATTCCTATTGTTCGTGAGATGTCGGCTCTTGGATAAGCCAATTTTCGCGAGATTAATTGCTGGTTTAATTTTCCCCCTTATTTTTTCTTCAGATCATTCCAGATTAAGGTGAAATGATCATTTATATTTTTCTGGCTAACGTGCGCACCAGAAATCTGGGGGAGAGAGAGGGAAAGAACTGATTTTTTGGAAATTAATTTTATTGAAAAGAATTAATTTTGCAGAAAATGGTGGGAAGTTTTGGATTACGAATAGTTGATTGGTTTTGGCGC